CCCCCTTCCTCGCAGCAGCCCTCCTTGCCCTTCCTGCTGGGATGTTTGTCTCCCACCTCTCCAGGCTCCCCGGTGGGCGCTGTGGCTCCTGCCACCCTCTGCTTGCTGGCTCTGTCGCCACCCTCTACTTACCCAGTCGCTAAGCCAAGGGAGACAACCTCCACCCGGGCTCACGAGGATCTGCCTGTCGGCTTTGCAGACAGGCCAGAAGCCACGTCCTGCAGGCCGACAGATAACCGTGCCAGGGCGGTCGGGATCGCCCACATCAGTCCCCGGGAGGAAAGTCTAAAGACGGTGAAGAAGGAAACCAGCCCCCCTGTTTAACGCCAGCTGCTGAGGTTTAGTTCCCAAGAACAACTGGGCAGGTATAGATGGCCCTGTTCAGAGTTCCCAGGCACGACTGCCGGTTGGAGCGTTGGGCACGTTCTGTGGAACAACAAAGCCAAGTTCGTTCTCTTCCTCCCTGCTGTCGACTCCTTGCACCTCTCTGTTACCATTTGCTGGGGTGCAATCTGCCCCCAAGTTGATTTATTTTTCCCCCTGTATTTAGGACAGGGTCTATAGGGTGTACAGGGTCTCACTATGTAGACTGGACTCCTAGTGATCCTCCTGTGTTCAGCCTCCCAAGCGCTGGGATTACAGGCACACCCCCACGCCCAGTCTCAATCCCTGTCTCAGCGCGCCCCGGGGCGGGGCTGGCACACCAGGACGGGATCGGACCCGGCTGCTGCTACACTCTGCCTCAGCAGGTGCCTTAGTCTGCTGAGCTATCAGGCCGGCCCTGCACCCAAGTTGAGCAGTCAAAAACAATCACGACGCCTCATTTCTTACGACTGTGTGATCTTGACGCCGCTTCTGTGGGCGTCATCCGCTCTCCCGGGATGGCTAAGCTGAAATGCCTTAGGGTGCGTTCTCTCCTTTCCGGGTCTCCAAGTGGCTGGAGCACCGAGGCCTGCCCGGAGCTCAGCAAGGCCCGCCACGCAGCGCGCACCTGGCGGACTCGGGGTGGACCTCCGCACTGCGGAGCCCAGTCTGTCTCCTCCGCTGCGTTCTGTTGGCCAGAACCCATCACAGTCCAGATTCAAGAGGAGAAAGAACAGAGTCCTTGTCGTAGGAGAAGCCGTCATCCGGAGCAAAGAATCGGGTGAGGCCAGCTTTGGAAATTACCAGTCTGTGTGATGACGCAGACCCCCGTAGGTCTTCTCTCCCTGTTCTTCTTCTTCTTTTTTTTTAAAAAAAATAAATTTAACATCCTGTTTAAAGTTTTACATGCAAGAAACTGTACGTAATCAGTATACATTCATCATAAGCTTGATTAGTTTGGAGACAGATACATACCCAAGAAGCAGTCAGTACAGTGTTTGTCACAAACCCGTCTATCCATAAGCCTTCCTCCGCCCTCTTAGTCATCGTCAGCGGCCAGCACAAGGCCCCCGCGGGACCCGAGCCCTGCCTGCAGAGCACTCTCAGGGCGGGTGACTTCAAGGAAAAAGAGAGCCACACTCAGCTGGCGCATGTCCTGAGAAATTCTCCCAATGCAGCATGTAGTGTTTCACTAGATTTGGGGGTTATTTTGAGACAGGTCTCACTGTGTAGACCAGGCGGGCCGTGAACCCACTATGTCACCCAGGGTAGCTGCTGACTTGTGACAGTCCTCCTGTCTCAGCTTCCTGCAGGTGTGCAACCCCGCACTTTGCTATATTTTGTATTTGTAAATGATATATATATTTTTTCATATGCCATAAAATACAATTCAGTGCTTTTAATCTATTTATGGAGCTGTGAGCCATCATGTTAATCTATTTCTTTTTTTCTTTTTTGATACTGGAAATCAAACTCAGGACCTTGCACTTGCCAGGCAAGTGCTGTGTCCCTGAGCTGTATCCCCAGCAATATTAACCTAATTTTACCTTTTTAACCACCTCAAAAGGAAACATTGGCCAGGTGCAGTGGCATACACCTGTAACTCTAGCACTTGGGAGGCTGAGGCAGGCGGATCCCTGTAAGTTCAAGGCCAGCCTGAACTGCACAGTGAGACCCTGTCTTAAAAAAATAATAATAAAATAAAAAGGCAGTGGTATCAGTTATTCTCTATACCACTGTTTCCTCCTGCCTTGAGCAGCCACTAATCTACTTTTGCCACAAATTTACCTGTTCTGGACATTTCCCATCCATGGCAGTAGCGTCACGTAAATGGAATTACGCATCGCAGCTTTCAAGGACTGGCTTCTTTTACTTAGCATCATGTTTTTCTGGAAATTCATCCGTGTTGAAGTATCCATCAGCTCCTCCATCAGCGCCTCGCTTCTTTTTGAGCCTGGAAGATAGTTGCATGGATACATTGTGTCCATCAGTCGAGGGACATTTGTGGTTTTTCTTTCTTGTCTTTTTTTTTTTTTTTTTCTTACTGTTATGAATTTGGACTTACATGGACAAGTTTTTGTGGGGATAAATGTATTCAGTTCTCTCAGATAAATATCTAGGGATAGAATTAGTAGGATTAATGATAACTCTTTATTCAGAAGAACCACTGAAATGTCCAAAGTGGCCACACTATTCCCCGTTCCTACCAGCAGTTACGAGAGCTCTCCTTTTCCTTGTCTACACTTATTATTGCGTGTGTAGACTTTAGCTAGGTTTTGAGGTAAGCGTCGAGGTGATTGGCTGATCCCGCCCTGTGTATGTGCGATGGGCCCGCATAAGGTTTAGGCGCTGGCCCGCGAGCACTTGCTCAGCACCTGTGGCGTGCCGGGACTAGGGCAGCAGGGTCAGCTCGGCTCCTGGAGGTCCGTCCAGTCTCGGGGGTGGATGAGCAAACCCAGGAACCCGGCATTGCACACCCACGGGCGCAGGACAGATCCGCTTGCAAGCAGGAAGAGGAGCCACGGGAAGTGTCCTTGGGGAGGGGCACCTGAGTTCAGTATGGAAGAAAGGAAAAGAGGATTGAGGCAGGGAGGAGGGTAGGCAAGTGGAAGGAAGCTCAGCAAGGGATGAACACCTGCAGAGAAAGTCCGAGAACTGGAGAGGGAAGGGGGGTTCTGGCTGCTGAGGGGGCTTCTCACTGCCAAGGGGGGCTCTGACTGCCAAAAGGGCCTCCTGCTCCATGCAGGGATCGAACCCAGGCCCAGTCCGCTGTGCTAAGTGGACTAAGCAAGTGCTTTAGTCCACTAAGCTGTCAGGCCAGCCCTAAATAAACATTTTTTAATCCCCTTTAATCTGTGTGTGTGTGTGTGTGTGTGTGTGTGTGTGTGTGTGTATGGTTGTTTCATTCTTAAAATTGAGGTCTAGCACAAATCTCACTGTGAAACTCAAGAGATGTACATATTATGTTCAGATCAGCATACCATCAACCCAGAAGCTTTCCTTGCGTGTTTCTATTTAAGCTTCCTCCAAGAGGTGACCTCTCTTCTACCTTTTAATACTAAAGAGAAGTCCTGCTTGTCTTTGAACTTGCGCTTAAATCACGTGCTGTGTGGCTGCCATTTTGGCTGGCTGCTTTTGTCACACATGATGTCTGTGTGAGTCCTAAGTGCTCTTGCCTGCATTCATAGTAATTGCCCTTCTTCACCGCTGTGTGCTAGTCTGTGTATGAAGGTCCCACAGTGTGTTTATCTGGCTCCCAGCCGGTGAGCACTCGGCCTCTTTCCAGTGGTTGCCTCCTGTATTTAAAGCTAATGGGAACGTTCTAGTAGTCTTGGTGGCCATCTCCACTTATTTCACTGATAAATGAAGTTATCAGGGCAAAAGTAGGTATATGCTTAGCTTTGTGGACTTTTTTTTCCCCTGACAAGTTTACTTGGCGCCTGTGCTGACTGGGGTGGCGGTCTGCCAAGCATGGCCCTAACCACATGGACACTACGGGGTCACAGCTCCTCCCCGGCAGGGGGTGGGGGGTGGGGGGTGTCCTGCCCAGCCTCAGCCCTATGCGCGTGGGGCTGTGGGCCCTGGAAGGCTCCTTCTCGCCACCCCATGACCTCAGCAGGGCCCAGGAAGCAACGGCACTGACCTGCCCATGAAGGGAGGCTTTGTGGGACTTTTAAATTACCACTAGGCAACTGTGCATAGTTACTGAACTAATTTTCACTCCTGTTAATGAATTAGACTCATCTTTTTAAGAAAATACATTGACTCAACACAGCTGTAACCCCAGCACTCTGGGAGGCTGAGGCAGGGGGATTGCAAGTTTGAGCCCAGCCTGGGCAACTTCACAGCTTAGCAAGACCCTGTGTCAAAAATGAAAAATAAGGGCTAGGGAGATAGCTCAGTAGAATAAGTGCTTGCCTAGCAAGTGCAGGGTCCTGAGTTTAATCTCCAGTACCACAAAAAAGAAAAAGAAAAGAAAAGTAAAAAAAAAAAAAGGACCGAGTAAGTAGCCCAGTATGAAGACCATGGGTGCAATCCCCAGGGGTTAAAAAAAAAAAAATTTGTACTGACCCTAAGACCAAGGAAAAAATAAAATACAATGTCACAAATTTACCTTTAAGTCATTTTTTGACACATAAAAAGGTATGTTACCCTTTTGCTAATTAATTATATTATGATCCTTCCCTTTTAAATGGAAGATACCAGCCAGGGATGGCGGCACATGCCTGTAGTCTCCGCACTCGGGAGGCTGAGGTACGAGGATTGCTGTGAGATCCAGACCAGTCTGGGCTACAGGATGAGGTCAAGGCCAGCCTGAGCTGCATAGCAAGACTCTGTCTTAAAAAGACAAAAATAAATAAATAAATTAGTTAGTTAAACATGCCATATAATTTACCCCTTTTTCCAGAGCTACACCATGGTCCACAGGCTTTTATTTATATTCAGAAGGTTCTGGCCACCACAGCTGTTGCCCCACACGGAAGGCTGCAGCCCTCAGCAGCGACCCGAGCCCCTCTCCTCCGAGTCCCAGCTCCCAAGTCCCGATCCGCTTTCTGCCCGTGGACCTGCCTCAGCTGGCTATGTCACAGAGGTGCTTAACCCGTAACAGATCTGTTTCTTCGCTGTCTTCCTTCTAGGACCCTAAACACTTCAAGTCAGAGAAAACGGGCCGCGGCCAGCTACGGGAAGGCTGGAGAGATAGCCACCAGCCCATCATGTGCTCCTACAAGCTGGTGACCGTCAAGTTTGAAGTCTGGGGGCTTCAGACCCGAGTGGAGCAATTTGTGCACAAAGTAAGTGACCCACAAAAGGCAGCTTCCCGCTGGCCTTGTTGTCCAATTGGAGGAGGTGGTGTCCACCCAAGGTGCAGTTTTGAGCCAATACCAAGGGACTGCATATATGAAGAATAACTGGGCGGGAACATTCCTTCTATATAGGGATTAGATTTTCATCCACTGCTAGGTGTAGACGTTGTCCATTCCGCTTCTCATCCTGTGAGCTGCGGTCCTCTGGGTAGGTCTGTGGGGGAAGTGAGGCTTTCCCAGTGTCCCTCCCTCCCTGGCCGTGGGCAGATGCTCCAGGCAGGGGCAGCTGGGCAAAGGCCGGCAGCGGCATGGCTGTGTGCACAGTGCCTGCGGCCAGTTCCCACTCTGAAGGTCTCGCCAGCTTGGGCACCTAAGGCAGACAACACCCCACGAGACAGAACAGGAAGTCCCCGCTGTACCACGGAAGAGCACACCTCAGTGTTTCTGCTGTCTTAATAATTCTGCCGCTGAAGAATCATTAACCACCCCAAATACAGATTTCACTTTGGTTAAACATTTTAACCCTGTACCAAGAACCTACGTGGTGATGATTTAAGTTTTCAAACACAACACTTCCCACGGGGGGGAGGAATGGAAATGCAACCTCCCTTGATAGCTCCTCTCATTTTCGTGAAAATAAATACTCCCCAAGTTGCCCCAGTGCTTCACAGAGGCTAGCTTTCTGTTTCTTTTCCCACTCAGAAGCTGAGAAAGAGTAGCTTTTCAGAATTCTTTCGGGGGCTCTGGAAGCTTTACTTGATGAATTGAGCCGTTCGTTATGTGGATGCATGCATCTACTGACCGGGGGCAGCTTGGTAGGAGAAAGTTCATTCTTGAACGTAGGTCTGCGGTCTCTAGAGTGGATTGTCCAGCCCCCAACTCCTCGCACCTTGTGCTGCGAGGCAGACTCAAGTAAGTCAAGAGCACTGGGGTTTCCTTGTACATGGAAGAATGTGATCTTCCCCCGAGTCCCAAAGCCCATTCTGCCAGCCAGGAGTGAAATGGCGTGAGATGCATCATAGAAATCGGGCTGCAGAGGTCTTGTTCTCCTTCCATGTCTTGGTTATTGAGGGAGAAGCAGTCACAACGCCCAGAGCAAACAGTTTCGCAATCTCAGTTCTGTGTCTGCCTCTGCCTTGGCTTCCCACAAGTGTCTCTGTCTCTGTCTCTGTCTCTGTCTCTGTCTGTCTGTCTCTTTCTTTCCCTCCTTCCCTCTCTCCTTCCCTCCCCCTTTCCCTCTCTCTTTCCCCTTTTTATGTCTTTTTAACCCCACGCGATCTCATCCTACTAGGCCCATTATCCAAAAGCATTTTCTGTTCTGTCACGAAGCCTTTGCACATTGCCACACGGCTCATTGTCTTTCTTTCCTCACAGATGACTTAGGCTGGCTGTGAGAATCCATTTCTTTAAAATGTCTGTAGGGAGGATGTTATCGGGCTGGGGAGCCAGCTCAGCGGTCTAAGCACCTGCCTGGCAAGCGCAAGGAACTGGGCTCCATGCGCGGTACCACATGCCGTGCCAGCCACCAAAATCGGGCGTGGTGGCACACACCTGTAATCCCAGATGGGAAGGCTGAGACAGAAGGATTCCCACAAGTCTGAGCTGTGTAGCAAGACCTTGTACCAAATAAATAAGTAAAAGACTTCTTACAAATATTTTTTTTAAAAAAAGTTCTCCACACCCCACCAACGCCCACTGAAGCACCGGAGTTGCTAATGCGTACAGCGAGGAGCCTTTGCAGAAGGTTTAAAGTGCTGGGGATGCCTTTCTCTGAACACCTTTGTTTGCGGTGGTGGGGGCTGGATTTTTGGGGTGAGTCTTGGTTTTTTGGGTTTTTTAGAATCTCTTCACAGTCAAATGGAAAAAAAAAAAATGTTCCCAAGGCAGCGATCAGCACGTTATTGAATTCGTGTTTACAGCCAGCAGCTGTGTTGTGCTTTAATGTAACCGAGTGGCTCTCCTGGTGCCTCGATGGCGTTCTTTTGATTTCCTCGAAGCTGGCACACTCCGTACTCCAGTGCGTACGTACAGCTGCCTGTTGTCTCTTAGATTCTTTACATGTTTCCTTTTTCCGACTCATCAAAGCCTCACTAGATATCCAGAGGCCCGAAGGAGTAAACACTTCATTATAAATGCTTCCCTTGTCTACTGATTCACCAAATTAAAATCCTCCATTGATTGAAGCATGCCGGAACCTTCTGCAAGAGATTTTTGACAATCACTAGATTTGTTTGGCAGGAATTAAAGGGAAGCTCAGCATACCCAAGAAACATAAAAGAGATATTAAAGCGTGTGAACAGGTTTCACAGGAACACAGTGTGTATTATTTTCCTCACCATTCTTTTTTTTTTGCGGGGGGAGAGGAAGGAAGAGCGAGGAAGGTGGTACCAGGTATCACATTCGGGACTGCGCCCTTGCCAGGCAGGTGCTTATGCCACTGAGCTATCTCCCCGGCCCTTTCCTTAGCCTTCGATTGCCATTATGTGTCCCTGTGAGAAAAAATTTTAGCTGCATGTGGTGGCACACGCCTGTACTCCCAGCACCTGGGGAGGCTGAGGCAGGAGGATTGACCCAAGTGTGAGGCCAGCCTGGGCTGCAAAGTGAAGCTCAAGGCTAGCCTGAACTGCACAGTGAGACAGTCTCAAAAAAGATACACAATAAATAAATAAATAAATAAATAAGAAACAATTTTATTTCTTTTATCTCCAGTGAAGCTTATCATTCCTATTATGTTCTATTCCAGTTCAGGTCTCTTAGTTCAGCTCTTTCAGTAAGAGCTGGCTAAATTGCTTTTTTTTTTTTTTCTTCCTTCCTTTACATGCAAGTCAAGCCTAGAAGGATATTAACTTATTTCACATACCATCTGTCAACTTACTTTTGAGTCAAGAGAATCAGTACTTAGGATATTTCATCAGAGAAGAGGAAATACCAAGTGCTCTTTGCTTACAAGTGACTCGCAACACAGAAAGGTGTTCTCCCCACGCCCCAGAACAAGGGATCAAACCCAGGGCCTTCACTCAGCTACACGCCCAGCCACCCCCTTTTTTTATTTTTGAGGTAAGATCTTCCTACAGTGCTGAGTTAAGAAAAAATGTTCTTTTTTTTTTTTTTTTCCTGAGACAGGGTCTTGCTATGCAGCTCAGGCTGGCCTTGAGTTCACTTTGTAGCCCAGCCTGGTCTCAAACTCACAATGACCCTCCTTCTTCAGCCTCCCGAGTGCTGGAATTCCACCATGCCTGGCGTGTCACTGAAACTTGTGTGCTATGGCTGTCTAGTGTTTGTCATCCGTCTGTGCCTCCCCAGGCCTAGCCCAGACGAGGTGGAAGGACTCCTCTGTGGGCAGCAGGTGGAGCTGGGAGAGAGAGGGGCCCAGCTCACACAGCGCCTGTGTGCGTTGCGTCCTCGTAGCCAGCCAGAGGGGCTGAGAAATCCAGAGCTGCCGAGCCTCCCAGAACTGCGAGCGACCTATTTTCTGAACAGTCATCAAACATGGTGTGATTTCAGCCTCCTTGTACTTTCCAGGTGGTCCGGGACATTCTCCTGATTGGACACCGGCAGGCTTTTGCCTGGGTTGATGAGTGGTATGGTAAGTCCATTTCCCCAAAATAACTTGGAGAACAATTTCATAACGTGTTGACTTGGGCTTTCAGTCCTCCTGGCTTCAGCTGCTACCTAGGAAGACAGCAACAAAGGCAGGTTACCGCTTCCTGTATGGGAAGTAGCCCTGCCCGTGACACATAATAAAGATGTAATTATAGAAGCTGGGTCTAAAATAGCCACAGAGCTACTGGCTGAGCGAGAGCTCAGGATGTTTGATGCCTGATAGTTGACCGGCAGGGCTCTGTCATTCTCTGTCGGATGGATTTCAGACCTGCTCTAATTTATCCCAAACTTCAATCCGAGATCAAAGTCACCCAAAGCTGTCAAGAAAAGGCAGTCTTTTGTTTCAAGGGACACTTCAAGCAGCCCCTTACCAAATCTGCAGACGCTCTGCAAGTATCCAAGGGCAAGTGGAGGGGAGGCACAGGTGCCCCATTAATTCTAATTGAAGCCACTTCGCTGGCTTTTTTTTTTTTTTTTTTTTTAAACATGAAATGAGAAGAGTTAGACAAGTTCAGCACATAGCCAGTGCCTGAAATCAGGTCGACCATATCCCGTGATGGACAGACCACTCTCCCTAGACCCTGGGTTTTGTCCACCTGAGTCTTGTGTTCCCAGGATTAGTCACCAGATAGCCGCATCCATGGCTATAAATAGAAATAAACACCCCCAGGGGGTGACTTCGGTTAGGTCTGGTTTTCCGGCCGATTATCTGGTGAAGGGGCCTCCTCTTTGGCCTTTTCCTGAGTCATGGTAAATTTGTTCTGAGTGCTGTAGTTCGGTCCCTTTGTGTGGTTCTGTCCCTAGTTCCTTCCCTGTTTTCGCAGAAGTTTAAAGAAAAAGGGTCTGTAGGGAAGACGGACAAAGACAGTGGTGATCCTTACTGTTGCCAGCTGTTCCGAGCCATACTTTTTTAAAAAATAATTTTTATTCATTTTAAGGAGAAAAAAAAAAAAGATAAACTAGCAATGAAACCATTTCAAAACAGGTTAGTAGGACATTGACAATAATTAATACATTGCACGAGCCACACTTTTAAGGGCAGGGTTCTGCAGGCATGGGCTTTTGTTTTATTTTGCTTTGCTCAGTTTCCCCAGAGCTGCACCTCCTGAAAAATGAATACCTCTTTCTGGGCTCATCCAAATGCAGGCCATCACTTACCCCCTCTCATCCCATGCCCCAGCATGCCACCCTAAGGGGCAAGGTGGCGTGCGCCCTGACAGACCAAAGCCTTCTCTGTCCGCACCACCTCTCACGTGGCAGGTAGACAGGGTCTCCCATGATTCTTTCTCTGATCCTTAAACAAATATTTCTGGATGTTTTCTCTAGTGAAATTTTCTCCAATTTTCTGGGGTAGTATAAACTCCAAAAAAAGAAAAGAATTTCTAGCCTCTCCTGCCTTGGACTCATGATGGCCCTCGTGACCAACACCGAGACACTATCAAAAGGCTATTCAGAGGATAACAGGACCAAGACAGAGTGCTTGGATAGGACTCTGTTTAGTGCCAAAAGGCCGTGGGGGCTTTTCAAAAATGTCTACATTGGGGCCGGGGAAATGGCTCAGTAGAATAAGTGCTTGCCTGGCAAGCACAAGGGCCTGAGTTCAACCCCTGGTTCTGGGAAAAAAAAAAAAAATGTCCATAGCGAAAGGACAGGCAGGCTCTGATCAAGAGGGCAAAACTCTGTGAGGGTGCTCACCCGGAAAAGACGCTCTGGTCAGAGGGGGCTCTGGCAAAGAAAAGGTGCGCATGCGCATCCGGTAGGTGACTGGACAACAGGTACCGAGCTGGAACATGATTATCATTGAGCAGGGAAGAGCTGCTCACCTAGATGGGCAAGGTCCTGGGTTCAAGCCCTAGCACCAGAGAGAGACAGACATTCTCCGATTATTACAGCAGACCAAATCTAGACGAATATATCAAAAGAAATGGACGCTCTGGGGGGCAGGCCTGGGAACCTCAACCTGTTTACTTACAGTGGTTAGGTGAAGGCTGTTAGCAACCCCAGGAGTCTGTTGATCCTGGTGTCCTTTCTGTGCAGACAAGGGAGGTGCATGTCTATAATCCCAGCTCTAGGAAGCTGAGGCAGGAGGATCACAAGTTGGAACCCAGCCTGGGAGACTTAGCAGATTTGTAAGACCATGTCACAAAATAAAAACAAAATAAAAAGGGCTGGCAGTGTAGTGCGGTGTGATGGCCTTCGGTGCTGTGTGTTGGTGCACAGAGAGTACAGCTTTAGTGCATGCAGACCACAGGGCACCTTGTGCCCCCGAGCCACAGCCGTAGCCCCACCCAGAGCAGGCAGCCTCTCTGCCCTGCAGGTGGTCCAAGACTACACCCTCCGTTTCCCTTGAGCTGCTGCCAGCTGAGCTCAGCTAGCCAGGAATGCAGTGGCGCCTTCAGTACCAGGTGTAGACGCTCAGGAACCAAATGAGTGCAAGCAGCCCTCCCTACCCCCAGGCACCTTCTCACCAAGGCCAGGGGTCCATCCAGACCATCCTTCCTTTTGGGCCGCGTGAATTGGCTTCCTTTTCTTTAGTTCACACAGCCCCAAAGAGGCTCTGCTTAGTAAACATGGAAAAGGTCCTAAGTAAAGAAACCTCAAGGTGAAGTCCCTGGACCTGCAGCATCAGGATCCCCTGGGTATTTGTTGGGAAGGATTTCCCCAGGACCCCACCCTAAACCTACTGACTCAGGAACGAGGGGGCAGTCTAGTCCAGCTCTGACCTAAAGAGCCTTCCAGATGATTCTGAAAAGCTAGCTTATCGCTTGGGCTGTACACCAAATAGGACTGCAAAGGCAGGCAAATTAATTCAGTCCAAATCGGTTAGACTAGAAAATCATAGATACCTTCAGGGTAGTGCATGTCTGTAAGCCAGCATTCAGGAGGCTGAGGCAGGAGGGTCACTGTGAGTTGAAGGCCAACCTGGACTACATAGTGAGACCCTGTCTCAGACAGACAGACAGACAGACAGACAGACAGACAGACAGACAGACAGACAGACAGACAGCTATTGTAGAGAATGGTGATCTTTTCTCACCGAAGGTTTATTTTTGCATCCTTTCTGAGTTCCAGCATCAAGCTGTCACGGAACTATGTCCCTAAGCAGATTCTGTTCTTCTCGTGTTCTCTGTAGAGCGTAGTCGTTTCTGTGTTGGGGAAGTGGAGTTTATCTTTCAAAGCCCGGATTGGTCTTTATCTGTGAGCCCCGGGTCTCTGCACAACTAGAACAGTACTCGGAGAAGCAGCAACACATTCAGAAGATGGGGTGAGAGGGGCGGTGGATAAAAATAGCCAGCCCAGCTTCCCCGAAGCTGGTTTTGCTTCACACATCTGACAGGATTTTGAAAGAGAAGCACTCAAGATTGCCAGAGGGTGCCTGTGACAGAGCAGAGCTTCACAAATGCCTTTGAAACTTAGCTCTTCCCCATAAAAGTGTGAGGAAGGGTGAGTTCTGGCTGACAGACGCGAAAAGGTCTCATGAAGGTGACTTGGAAATCAGCCCAGAGTCCCTAGAGGAGGGCCTCCATAAGAAGAGGAGGAAGCCCGCCCGGCTGGGCACCAGGGGGCCCCCATTTCCTGAAATAGGGCTCTCAGCACCGAGGCTTCTCGGACCACATTTTGCATGTGTGCACTTCAGTTTATCGGACACTTGAAGCTTTCCATGAGTTTCAAAGGAATCTGCGAATCCTTCCCTTCTACCCCCAGTTAGGAGGGGAAAGAAAAAGGGCAACTGTAGATTATAGTTCTTGCTTTTAACTGTCTGAATTACATGGAAATGATATGCTGCAGACCTTATGGATTGGCTGCTTTCAATTTAACTCATCCTTCCTCACACCTTTTGGAGGAAGCGCTAAATACCCAAAGATTTTTGTGTCAAGTATCAAACCAATGATACTAGCTAGGACGGGCCTAGCAGTGCACGCCAGTAATCCCTGCACTCAGGAGGCTGGGGCAGGAGGCTTGCCGTGAGTTCGAGGCCAGCCTGGAATGCATAGCGAGACAGTAAAACTAAGATATAAAATTAATTAATTAAAAAGGCCCAGGGATGCATCCCAAAGGATCGCCACCGGTATGCCAGAGCGAGGGAGCATCCAAGCCCGATTCCTGATTTCCGGACCCTCCCGGCCCACACGCTCAGGACATTCACTTTAACTAAGAACGAGGTAGAGTGACTTCTGTTGTGGCGCAGGAGCCTGGAAGTGGAGCCACGTCTGTAGAAGAAGGTGAAGTCTAAGGCACCATTGGAAGGGCCAATGGGTTAGTGTGAGACTCTCCTTTTTAAAATTTTAGCTGCTTTAACTGCTTTGTTCCAGGCATTTGTAGTATGGCTGCGGGTTCCACCAGCTTGAATCCTAGTGGCCTTTCAGATGTGCCCTCTCACCTCCTCCTCCTCCTTTGAAATCAACCTGCTTTTATCAGGAGACAGACAGAAAGAAGGAAAGAACAGCAGCCAGGCACAGTGATACCTGAGATCCCAGCTACTCTGGAGGCGGAGGCAGGGAGATTGCGAGTTTAAGGTCAGCCTGGACAGTTCAGAGAGATGCTGTCTTAAAAGAAAAAAGGCAGGAACTGTAGCTCAGCACTGCCTGGGCTCAAGCCCGAGTACCACAAAATAAGAAAATGATTGGGCTGAGAGGGCAGCGTGCTGCACCAGCTTAGCATGCAAGGGTCCTGGATTCAACCCTCAGCACCACAAGACATTTGATACTAAAATATTTAAGTAAGAAAAATCAGAGCTGGCGAGATAGCTCAGCGATTAAGCGCCTTCCTAGGCAGGCTCAGAGACTGAGGTTCAGTCCCAAGCACCACAGGCCACGCCCCCAAGTGCACTGAGCCGACCACTTGAGACTAGGCGCGCCTGTAATCCCAGCGCTGAGGAGGTTGAAAATCCTCGTAGGAGGATCACTACGAGTCCAGGCTGTAGCAAGACCTTGTACCAAATACATCAAAAAAGAAAGAAAGGGGCCAGGGAGATGGCTCAGT